ATATATATATAATTGATTAGTAGTATTTCGAGCCAAAACGAGCCGAACACGAACGAGCAAATATTTATTTGTGTTGTTCGTGTTCGGCTTGTTGACTTAATGAACGAGCCGAACACGAGCTGTTCGCGAACAACAAGCCGTTTTGACAGCCATATCGTCAGCAAACTGATCGATCCATGACGAAAGAGATCGTCGTGCGGCCAAGTACCTTGACTTGTCGACACATACGTCGAAGGGTACAATCACCACTCAGTGGGTTGTCTCAGTCAACCAACGTCAAGCCAGTCGGCCAGCGGATCACCACCAAAATTGAAATTCAAATTTTAATGCAAATATGACATGGAATTCATACAAATAATTAGTGTTTTAATCACATTAAGAGCAATTTTCATAACTGTTTACTTTTTTCTCTAATTGTACAAAATACATCCTCATAAATAAGGAAGAAAAATATGAGTAAAGGGGTCCTCTCCCTTGATTTTTGCAATAATGAATTCTAGATTTACTCCACTCTCACTCCTCCTCCTCTCTATCTGGCTCTAACTCTCGGGGGCGTAATTCATAAATGACAAATTAGGATCTAACATACTAAAAGGTGGCATGGTGAGCATGGATCATGCTACAGACGAGAAGTGAGAAAGAATACGAAGGAGAATGCTCATTTGATGAGAAAATTAGAAAAAGAAATTGATTATGCTAATATATTCTTTTTGAAAATCTTGAAATGGACAACTGACTTTAATCCTCGGGAGGAACCTCAAATTATTCTTGTCTGGATACATTTTTTGTGTTTGAAGCTTCATTTATTTAATATAAATTTTTTTTTATTCTTTTGGGGCCATTTTTGGGGCTTCTTTAAAAGTGGATCAAGCTACCTTTAATTGCTTTAGGTTTTTAGTTGCTAGAGTGTCATTAGAAATAGATGTTACTCCTTTATTTAATGATGTTTTTATTTATTTATTTATTCATAATGCTACTAATGGATGTTGGCAAAGCATTGAAATGAATTTTTTTCGCCTTCGCAATACATAAGGATCGCTTTAGATTATTGCATTCATACTTGTATGTCCCGAGGAAAAGGCCCCGTGCTTCTTCAACCCGGTTGGCCTAACATAGCTTTTTACATATGAGGTTGTCTAGTATGTCTAGGGTGTTAGAAAACTCCCTAACCCAGATGGTGTGTAAGCCCTTTTGTTTGGAGCGATGCCAACTTTGTAGTTGAACCTGTCTTTCCTTATTTTCTCAGTCATCCTTGCCACTTCGGCGGGTATAGATTTCACCTCTTGGAGCTCCAGCTTATAGTCATATTATAAAGTTTCTATCGTTTGACCTTAGGGCTACTGAGGTTCTTGTGAAAGACGGAATTTACAGATTGTTGGTTGTGTTGGGTCGACTATCTTCACAACGAGGTAGACTTAGGGTCTTTAATGGTTGTGTATGACGGGTCATTGGTACCCCGACCCGACGACAGCTCCATTGTAAAATTACTCTACCTTCCTTTTGCTGAGCCTCTATGAGCCTTGTCACTCATAATGCCATCTTGATGGCCCGATGGCGATGAGCTGTCGCCCATTTGGGATACAACGATTTGTTATCAGCTCTTATGGCCCAAACGTGCTTTTACATGTTGGGATATCCCCGTTAAGATGATTACTGTTGTTTTGTGGGCTCTATATACCGATGAGTCGCTACTCATTTGGGATGTGAGAGACTTACTCTTTATCTGATGACTTAGAAAGAGATTTGAGGTATTGTTACATTCCCACACGGCATAACCTTTCTTCGAGTACTTGTTTTCCCGGGTTTATGATAATATAAAGCGAAACACCTTTTATCGAGAGTATTCTTGGGCATCCCCCAATATGTAATTAACCAGTAGTAATATGTTGCTTTGGTAGTGCTCTTAACCCCAAAATAGGTACCTGCACATGGATCTTTGGTTATGGGTAGTCCACGTATGTACTCTTTCGTGGATATCGATCTAAGGTGCATCCGCTTGATCTTGTTTGAACAAACATGCTTGGTTTATCCTTGTGCGGTTTGTTGCACGTCTACATTTTGTGTTTTCTCTTGTCTATCGTCGTTGTCGTATGTCCTTTTCTGGTTCATATGACCAAGAAGAGAGATTTATTCGGGAAAAGAAAATATACGATGATCGACAGGCTAGCGACTCCTTCAAAAACAAACAAAATGAAAATTTTGAACAAAACTGAATGGCTACTCCTCTAGGGATGAGGCCTTCTCTTCACTACAGAGGTTTTGCTCTTGCAAATTCTAGTGTATCCGTAAGATCAACAACTCTTGCGAGGAAGAATCCACCTCTTCTCATTTATGGAGTTGTGTTTGTCTGTTTTGTAATAAATGTAATTTAAATATACATCTACCTAGGTCTATAGAAAATAGAAGAAAAAATAACCCACCATTTATACTTGCATATTGATCTTTCTTCTCCCTTGACACTTTACCATTACACAAAATGAGATGAGCACTAGAGATAACTTCCCATCATGGAGAAGTTCACCTAAAATTTTGAGTAGGCATAGATTTGATTTCACATGCATATACGCATTAGATTGTATATTTTAGCTTGATTCTCAGCTAGTCATTCTAAATTTAAATAACAACCCTACCCATCTACATGTATATGCAATTTGGCATACGGTTTTAAATTTTAGGTGGGTTAGTTGATACACTTTCCAAGTAGGACCATAAGTTCATAAGAGTTAGATTAGATTTAGGTCTTAGGAGGGAGAGGAATCCATATATTCAATGCGACCTTAGACTAGATTTGAGTTTCATATATTGTAGTAGTACTCACCCTAATTTTATAATCTTAGAAAAATCATTTCTCCAAGCTACGACACATGTCCTAAAAAATTAGGGCTTATTATAAATATTTAAGTTATAGGGTTAGTCTCAGAAGTTTAATAAATTTATTAACTCAAAATTAAAAATTAAACCTCAATCCAAATATATAAATCCCAACCATATGATAATTTGAATAGCCATAAAAACTCTCTATATCTGGTGCTTCTTAGTCATCCTTCTTTAACCTCTAAAGTTTAAGCCAATCTCAATTAAAAATTTTCAATACAGAATCTCAAAAATTGAAATTCAAAGTATATAAAAATATGAGAGCTACTATTTTAATAAGGACTTTATGTAGGAAATGACCTCTTCTAGGTTATAATTAAGTACATTGTTTTACCCTTACTAAAAATCTGTATATTAGAATAAAATAGATCGTATCCCATCCAAATTGGGGAAGAGAAAATGATTTAGATCTCAAGTTTTGATATCATTATTTTGTGTTTAGATCCATTAATGGGTATCATTATTTATCTTAAGATAATATACTATTATTGGTATTATTTGATCATAAAATGAGAAATTTTAAATTTTATGCAATCTATATTTCAAATGAGCCACCCACTTTATTAAAGATGTATTAATTCTTTAAAGAAGATAGGCCCAATAAAAATTTTATTTTCATACATACAATGCTCATAAAAATAAATAATAAAAAACTTAAAAGTTTAGAGAACATTATAACTTGATGAAAAATAATTGTAAATTCAATATAGAATATATTAAAAAAACTTATCTTAAAGTTTATAGTAAATTATCAAAATTCTCTTCAGTTCAAAACTATGACAAACTCCTAAATAAGCTAGTCATATAACCACTCTAAGGATTTATAAAAAAATTAATTAAAAATAAATTAATATAAATGTAAAACTTCTTCTATATCAAATTATCAAAGGCTAACATAAGCACTGTGGATGGGATTATTCAATTTCAATAGAAAAGGTCAACTAATTTAGTTTATTATCCTTAATTGAATGCTTAACCATAATAAACCATAGTTGAACTCCTTTATAATCTACCATCTAGTTCTACCATGTATGATGATAAGCTAGGATGGTGCTAGAAATTATCTTTTATAAGTAGAGGATTGTTCTCATAGTTTGTGACAAAAATCTATAGGCTTTCTTTAATCCATGATAATATTGGTTTAATTTATGGTTTATTTATGTAAAACCTATGACAAATCCAAGATCCAAAAATATTTGCAAATTTGAAGGTTCAAGTTGATTTGATTCAATTGAGTTCACATGGGGTTGATTTGGTATGTATGGGTTTCATTGAGTAAAAAAAAATTATAGTGAAACAATTGACCAACTCGCGGAGTCAAATAGGGTTTGAAAGTCTTTATAAACCTACAATATATTCTAGGAAAGTTTTTGATTTAGTTCTTTATGTCAACTAGGGGTTTTACATCTAATTGGGTCTACAGGTTTTGAAATTATGTAAGTTTAACCTTTTTTTTAATCAAATTGTTCACCAAAATAAAGCCGAGTGGTCTGAAGGGATAATTCATATATGAACGACTTAGTGACAACCATGTGAGTGCTTGATTTAAACTAATATAAAAATTGGCCCAAAAGGTCTCAATGGGCTAGAAAAACTTAAGTGGGTAATGATCGTTTAAACAAAAGTTTATTCTTACTTTAGTGGATAATGATTGTTCAATCACGTTATAGAGCATTTTATGATTAGATTAATTAAGCTTATGCTTAATTATATTTTATCTAGAAGGTATAATATGATAAATCCCATTAATTTGATCAAATGATATCAAATTCACTAAGAATGTTAGGGTCATTACGATTAAGTTTGGCCACTTAGGGTCAATTAACTTCACTAAGGGGAAATTAAGTTTAAACCATATATGGGGAGTTCACTCACTTCAATTATAACATTGATTATAATCAATTTGAAAAAGTACACCAATTTAACATATAACCATTTTAACATTTAAGGTGCATTTGGAAGTGAATTGGTCAAATTGGGCTTCGTTAAATGTTATTTAGACTTGAGTTAATTATTGTAAACTAATTTAATTAGTTTTTAAGATTTTTTTATTGGTTTAGTTGGGGTGAATTGATCAAATTGATTATAATAATTTTATAGAGTCAATTTGGGTTAACTATGGCTACGTAGACAAATTGGCTTATTAAAGGATCAATTGCGACTAATTTATCTATTTTAAAATATTAAAATTTCTCAAAGTTACTAGGAGAAATCGTTTTGGTCAATTAAATTTAATTAGTCATGTAGGTGAAATATATTTATTTGGGTATGTCTAGTCAACTAGTCTAATCATGTAAGGTCTATTTGGCTCAAATAGGTTAAAAACAATATTGTGGGACTACATTAAGGGGTTATAAAAAAAAAAAGGGATCAAACTCAAGTTAAAAGACCCAAACTACTCTAGTGGTCAATTATAATCAATTAACTCATGATTTGGTGATCTCCATCTCGTGAAAAACACTTGGTCAAGTGGTGTGTTGAGGCTATTGCGTTTGGCCATAACTTCCATAAGCCAAGTTCAAGGCATCATATGGTCAATTATCATGTATAAACTTATAGCTAAACGGACGAGAGGGGGATAATTTTAGAGTAGCAATTGAGTCTAGTGAGACCACTTAAACTTAAGTACGAACAAAACCTATTATGTCGCTTTCTAAGGTTAAATATTTTTAGGAAATCTATATGGTTTAGAAATTAAAGATTAAAAGGTTCCTTCTATGATTTTTACTAAGTTCATAAAAAATCTACACTCATGCTAATTTAACCTAAGGGATAAAGTAGGGGTTCTAGCTAGATAAGATTAAGGAACAATTGTTGATTGATCCAAGGAATGAAATTAACTTTAAAATTAATTAGTATAAATGACTTGGAATTTTTCTAGGAATATCATAGCAACCAAACAAACGATGTTAATACGTTGAAGTTAAGATAAGGCCAAGAGTGACAAGCTTAGCTTTATCTTGATGGGAAAATTAGATGAATCAAACCCAAGCATTAAGACATATGAAATATTGACACATTTAATGACAACAATACTATCACCATTTTGACCATACGATAAAAAAGTTTCCCTGAAATCTTAATATATTTCAACACTCTTTGGATGAGCATAAAATCGAGTGGCACGATCCTCTCAAAGCTTGTCCTATTAAACACTGGCCTAATTTGAAACACATATTAGTTAATTTTTAAGTCTTAATGAACTTGCATGATTATTAATAAACTCAAGTTTTCATTTTACTTATAATTTGATCTCTAAGTTGCATCAATTCAATTTCTATAATGTCATTATTATTAATGAAAATTGGCTCAAGAATAGGTTTAACATCATCTATCAAAGCCTCAACATTACTTATCAAAAAGTAACTTGTACTAAAATTAAAATATGTATATTGCGTTGTTAACATGCCCTTGCCCTAGATTTGAATTTCCTAAAAGAAGCATCACAATAAAAATATATGTATTAGCAAAAGTATTTTTTGGAATGATGACATAGACTTAATACACTGAACTTCAATATCAATGCAGGGAGCATAATATGGTGGTTGGTATGATGCTTACAATGGGCCAATCTAATTTTTTTGTTGGGGGCCTATGAAAAATACTAAGGTATGAAAAATAATCAAACATCATAATGAGATATTGGAGTTTACAAAATGAGGGATTGGTTGCTTTTAATGGTTCGACATCACAATAGTGATATTGAATCATACATGTGCAATCAACTACAATCCAGAGAAGTAGACGCTATAACATATGATCATAAAGCAAAATGTTTCACTTGGAATAGCAAAAGAGTTATACATTTTATTACGTAAAGGCACGAGCAATTATTGTATTATAATAGTAAATATTTTGAATTAATATATAGGAGTAATGGTATTTTAAAACTTGATTAGAAGAGACAACCAATTGTCCACACCCACTTGATATGCTCTTCCCCACAAGCCACCATCTTATAGATCCCTAGCTACCCGAAATGCTAATAGATACTAATCAAACAAGGGATTTTGAATCTTTCAAGTCTTGTTTTGTTGTAAGTAGGTTTCAACTCAAATATGATAGATACTAATCAAACAAGGGATTTTGAATCTTTCAAATCTTGTTTTGTTGTAAGTAGTTTTCAACTCAAATATGATTTAATAAATATTATAAGTACTTATATAATAAAGTTTATTTGAGTTGAATTGCAAAGATTTTTTGATATGATAGGTGCTAAATTCAATTAAATCTGAATAAATTGTTTTGCTACTTACTCAAATATTCAAGATGTTATGTAATTGTGAGATTGTACTAATTAAACAAAGGGGGGTGAAACGCGGATTATGTTTCTGCAGTTATTTTCTTTCTTCTCATTTTTGCTGTTTGGCCGATCCGAATCCTATTCGTCTGTAAGCTCAGTCATGGCTTCTCACGCTCCCTTGTAAGAGCCGACGATTTTTCATTTAACTACATCACCTGCATCTAAAGCCGGATGCGACGGCCATGGAGGAGGAACAGAAGCTCCCACAGGCTAGAAAGTCCAGGCTTATCTTTCGTCTCGTTTCCTTCCTGGTATCTCATAGCGCCTTCGTCAGGTTTGGTCTCTCACACCAACCGTTCCGTTCCGTTCTTTATTAGCTGATGAGAGTAACTCTTTATTGATCAATCTTCTGCGGAAATGAATGCCTCAGTGTAATCTGTTGTGTCGCTGGGTTCGTCGCCCTCTTCCTGCTTCCAGTCCTAGCAAAAAACACCTATGTGTCGGAGAATGCTCTCATGCCAGGTATCTCTACTTTATTGTTACTTCGCTAATGATCTGGTTTCTCTTGTTAACATAATTTTGTAAATATTGATAATTTAGGACTTAGAAGTAATCCTTGGATGTATCAGTCAGTTGCAGGGGTTATGAGTTTTCACTTTCGATATGCTGTGGATTAAGAAAGTTGCACATATAAATATATTGTAGGAAGCCAAGGATTAACTTCATATATTTTCGTCCTTCCTTCCGCTTTATGCTGTCTAGATGGAAGATATTGTTATGTTGCAACCTTATGGATTGTTTTAAAGCCATGCATGTTTCGTTTTAGTGATGTTTTGGTGCATAGAAGCTTCACAAAATTACCTAAACATAATTTGCCTTATGCTGGTGTTATGTGCTAAAAATTGAAGTATTCTTGAATTCATCTTATAAATTTAATATCGAATGAATTTAGGATGCACTGACTTGCAAAAAATCACTTATTTATTTTCATAAGAATCACAGTTAGTAGAGGCAGTGTTGGATACTTTTACTAGGGAGAAATCATATGGAGTGCATGCATGATATTTCAATTGCTTTAACTTGTGATCTCAGGCAATCTGTTTTGCTCGAGTATGTTTCAAATGAAATAGGTATTAATTTTTTTTTTGCATTTATTGTGCATTTCTTTGCGATAATTCGTAGTTATAAAACTATAATTGAATTACTAGTGAAGTGGAAGCTTGCAAGATTCTGATAAACTTAAATTATTGTAAACAAACTTGTTGAGGCACCAATGTTTTTAAAATTTGGTGTTTTTAAAAGTAGTGGTTATTTAAATATTCTCATTTTCATAAATAAATGATGAACTTAATTTTCATAAACAACCTCAAATTTTTAATTATGATATTGGTGGAGAGCAGTTGTTTTTGCAACCTCTATGTCTATATTGATCAATTGATCTTCATACACTGATCATAGATATGTATAATTCACATGAAGTTGCAAACCACGCTAAAAGAGCCAATTTCAACTAAAGTTTATTACTATTATATGGGAACACTAATCATAGATATATATAAATGCATGTGAGGCTCCTAACTATGCTATTACATGGATAATGATTGTTTCAACACAAGTTTATTCTTACGAATCTTTTATCCAAATGAAACCTAAATGTTATATCAACTACATTCATTTATGCCATGAAAGTATACAAGCTAAATTTCATGAACTTCTGAAGTAATGTATCCGTATATGCACACTCCAAACAATGAGTTCATGGTTCTAAAATTCATCGTGCATAAGAATTTAGAAAAATGCAAAATTTGGTCATAGTTTATGGCATTTCTATATATTGAGTCCATTTAATTTCCTATGATGAGTAAAGTATAATTAATTTTATGAAGGTTGTTGTTCACGATTCATTCCTTCATTGCATGTGATGCATAGTCATAATCACAGAAGTTGTGAAAATTTTATTTTTGAGTAGTTCTCATGCCATAAGTTATGGTTAATGGATTATTTGCACATGCAATGAACAAAATACAAATTACTTGATGAAGTTTTACGATGCATGCAAAAGGTAACTATGCCATTTTTCTTAAAGAGAGTCACACTTTCTTCTCTTTTATGCGAATGGATCAATTCCATACACAAATATGCCTTCTATATTTTTCAGCAAAATAATAGTCTAATGTGACACATTAAGTATGTTATGGATCATAAGATTAGAAGATCTGAAATAAAAACCATGCATCTTGAATGATAACTTCAACCTTGTAAATTTTGTTTTGTTATTATAATTTTATTTTCAAGGGACATTGTGTTTCCAAAGAACAGTATATTTTTTGTAAAATTACAAAGATTTGTAAGAGAAGAAGATTTTTGCAAGTTGATCATGCAAGGCTCATGTATTGACACATCATGAAAATGCACAACACAACTTACAAATTTCAAGCCCAAGTCAAGTGATCTACTACATTGAAAAAACGAATCAAATTCTTTTCCACATTTTAAGGAGTCAAATTCAAACAGTCAAATTCCTTGTCACATTTCATGAGTCAAGTTCAGTTGGTAAAAAATCATCCTCCACCTTGTATGGAGTCAACTCCATGATTGCATCCATGATGTTTTACGGCTTCCACTTCCATTTCAGAACTACCCACTACAACAAACCACCTAGCTTAAATATAAATTTATATAAATGTTATTCTGTGATTTCATTTATAGTAATTATTTTTAAGATGTGAACATTATTTCCTCTTATATAAATAGTGAAGAAATCAATGAAAAAAGTAGACTGTTGTGTTTTGATTTTTGCTTTGGACTTATTTCCCTCTACTCAGTGTTGGGCAACTTCATGGAGATTTGGTGGTCTACTGGCCTCCAGGTTTTAATCACATGATTTATCTGGCGAGAAATTATATGATTGCATTTTTCTTTTTTTTTTTGTATGAGTATAAATCCTCTCATGCACAATGATGCGGTAATTGGTGCCTTATTCCACTTTGAAGAATGAAGGCCATTCATGGAAGATTTAGTGTTATCATGGTCGAGGTTTGAAAGCTTGCTAAGGCTACATTTCATGCCCCTATTTCCACTCGCTTTCATTTTAAGTACTCACCCATAATCCATCTTTGTCCCCACATGAAAATGTAAAAGTATACAAAACATTTCCTAAAGACTATCGGCTCATTCTTCACATGAAAATTATATTTATCTATGGTTTCATTTATTGTGCTCAAATATTCAATTAATTTATCAAAACTTGTATTAGCTGCTAGTACGATTTGTCAAATGAAGTACCTATATCAATATCTATTGTCATCCTCTATGCTTAAATCCCGAAGTGCTCTTACTGGTATGTTCTCTGGTTCTCAGAATAAGGTTTAAATATCTAAGTCTGCTCTGTGAATTTTTGCAAGAAATTAGACATGTTATACTCGGCATATTTGTAGCTGAACTCATCCCTATCTATATTTAATTGACTCCGTGCCTTCAACTAATTAAATATTAAAAAATCTTCTATGCTTGCACAATATTGACCAAGGTGCTTTAAAGTAGTGTCAATTTTTGCATCAATGCAATTCATGGATGTAACTAATTATATGTAAAATCGAATTGACCATTACATTTTGTTTCTGCATTTTTTTCTGTATTAAGAAGGGATCTTCATGGAAATCTTCCAAGCGGCCAAATTTTTGGCAATATATAGTTTTTGCAATGTGATAATATTCTTCTGTTTTAGGAATCTTTGATACCAATCATGATTCTTTTCTCTTCATGTTATTTATACTTGGATCAGTTTGGTAATAATGTTTTTTCGGTAAGTTAGTAATTTTTAGCGCGTTGATATATTAAGTTAGCATTCTTTTAACAGGTTCAGCAAATCCTACGTTTTCTCATCAAGATGTACTGGAAGCAAATATATTTATTAAAGATATTTATGAAAAGAGAAGCTTGGAAAACGGTTCAGGAATGTATGTATTATTCATAAATCTAGCTTTTATTATCTTTGGAATATCAGTCCCACTTTAGCATGTTTCAGTGCTACTAATTAATATAAAAATTGCATAGTTCCTTTGTCTGGATTTTTATGTTTGCTCTGGTCGGTTGTTGTGAAAATTGTATTTTATACAAAATATGCTAATTTAACTTATCACTACTTGTTGTCTCATTTCCTTCTATTTTTTTTGGAGCACATATATTCTTCAATGGTAAGTTCAATGTATGAATAACACAAGGAGTCCAAAAATTATGAGATATTGAGCCTCAATCAATGCTCCTGCAGCTCTGCACATAGGTGCATTGTCGGTGATTACTTAAAAATACTTTATCTGAATCTACACCTACAATTACTACTTTAATTTTATTGTTAATGTAAAACTTATCTTTATATGCCCCTTCACAGTTAGTAGCTTTTATAAACATTGATCCAGATTCCATGAAACCCATAAAATTAATGAGAAGCTTTCATTGCGCATCTGTCCACCATCACAAACTATGATAACTCCCTTCTCATTCCAAGTCTCCTTTATAGGCTCAAACATTCTCTTAATATGTGCTCCCTTCTTTTGAAGCGAGATTGTTCTTAATAGATTATAACCAGAAGAATATATCTAGTGATTGTGTTTTTGGCTGCATATGAGAACACACTAAAATAATATGAATTTTTTACCAAATAAAATGGAAGAGCTGCATAATAAAACGTGTGAGCAATTTCTTCATGTAATTTCTAGTTTGTAAATTAAATGTTCTTTCCAATATAACTATTGTCTGTCATTTTTCTTTTCTTAAAGCATAACCTTTTCCCCTAAATAAATGCCCACTTGATTGAGAGCTACACAACTACTTAGAACCACTTGCTCAAAAGAAGAAAGTAGAACCTTCTTAAATACAACAATTTTCTTTTTCTACTCTGCATCAGCATTCAACTTCCACATTTCTTGAATTTATATCGAATTTACTGTAGGACATGCTTGAATGCCAACTCCAGATTATTAAAAGTGCGCTCACCCTAGAATATGTTCCATTGAATTTTCCTTGACAAAAGTTACACTGCAATTTTACAGTCTCCTGCTCCGATTGATCCCAATTTATCAAATATGATAACATATGCCTATAAATGCTTCTTCTCATCCTTTATGAGATTGTTAGAGACACTTGTAGTAGCTATTATTCTATTAATCTAATTTTGAAAACTATAACATTTAAAATACATACATACATTTTTTTTGAGAAAGCCCAATGACTAATAAATTAAAAGAAAATAGGATACAGATAGATTGTGTGGGAGGACCCAAAAATGACACATTGCCCACACGATAACCACCACATGCAAAATGTTCCAAAAAGAGAAAAAAATAGAAAAATACATGAGAAACGTAAAGAAAAAAATAAAAAAAGTGCCAAAATACGGAGAATCAGGTAGCTAGAGAGCGACCCAATTTTGTCTTGCCCTGCCTCTGGTTCTAGGGAAGGAGTCAACTAATAAATTGGTAAGTTGAGTGCCATTGCTGGTAGTAACAAATGTTCATCCAATAAGTTTTCGAGCTCGAGTCAGCCTCCATTCTTCTTCTTCCTCCTGTTATAGACTTGTCATTCCTCATCCAAAGATTGACTCACCTGATCAGTAGATTGGTTTAAAGTGTGCCAGACATGTGTAGTTTGTTGAACATTAAAAACAACTACTTGTTGTACCAACTGATCTTTTATCAGATCGAAGGAGTACTCTCGTGTGTCTTAACATATAAGTGGGTCTTCTTTAATAGCAATGAGTGGTATAAGCACATTTGGATCTGTACCTGTAGTATGATGTTCTTCATCAGGAACTGTGGTGTTGGAAAGAGAATTGGGTTGCACTTTCTCAACAGGGATGGTAGATGACTGATCTTTAGTGATATTCGACTTTAGATGGGGATGCAAGCGATAACAAATAGTAGAACTGCGACCAAACATACTTCAATAAAAGCAACAAGGAGGGTATGGTTCTATTTCAACATTTTGCCAATACCTGTCGTGAGTAGTGCCAATCCATACCTTATTCGGAGCTGGTTGAGTGATATCTCTCTCAACTAACACACAAGCCATCGAGGGTTTGGTGATAGCAAACGTAAGACTATCAACCTTGAGAAGCTTACCGTAAGTAGTTGCTAAGGAGTAGAGAATTTCCACGTTGAACAGATGTAATTTTAACCCCCAAAACTTTATCCAAACAGGAATGATAGGGGACTCCGCTTTTGGATCAAAATTGACAGTCCACTTCAAAATTTTTATAAAATGGTTGTCAATTTTGATAAATTTTCGAGAAAAAAATGCGAGTGTAATCGACATCGTGAGATAACTGAATAAGGATACATTGTCCGTTAAGTAAGACGATATTTCAACTGCCTAATAGCTTCATAGCATCAAATTTTTTCCGAATGATCTCAAGTTTTGGGTGATCATAAAAGAATTTATCCATTAGAGCAAAACACTAAGATGACGTGATAATACTAGTTTCATCCTCAGTGAGAATCAGAGCAGACTTCCCATTTTTTTTATCAAGATTTTTGATGAAAGTGTGATCATCGCCACCTTCAAGAGCGTCATGGAAAGATTGTGTAACATTGCAGGACTTGCCAATATGAAAATCAGGCTCTGAACCTGAAAGAGGAGCACTAGTAGGAATAGGAAAGTCGCCGACAAGTGCAGTGACATAGGAATGCATCGTGGAGGCTATCTCCATCCAGGGCGGCTAGGTGAGCCGCTAGAAAAAGGCGAGCAGAAGAGACGGCGCGAGCAGCAAGCCGAGAAGTTTGCCTCGTAACAGTGCGACAAAAGGCAGAAAACGAAAAAGAAGGTTCGTCGTCAGGCGCAACTGCGAAGGGACGACGAAAACGAACGAGGCCTTCGTTGTCGGGCACAATTACGATAGAAAAGAACTGTCATCTAGCACAATTGCGACAGAAGAAACTGAAATGACCCTTCGTTGTCGGGCACGATTACTGCAACAGAAGAGAAGAAGAGGAGAGAAGACTAAACCGAATGCTAGATGGAGTGAAGCCAAAAGTGTTAAAAGAGGGAATAGCCATTGGGCGAAACCCTAGCAGAGCTGCCCTCCGCCGACGCCATCCGTGGCTAATATATATGATACATACATACATACATATACATACATATACATATACATACATACATATACATACATAAACGTACATACATATATACAAATACATGCATAAACATACATATACGTATACATACATATACGTACATACATATATATGTGTATGTATATGTATGTACGTATATATATGTATGTATATGTATGTACGTATATATATATATATGTATGTATGTATATGTATGTATGTATGTAGCAAAGCGACGAGATTTATACATACATTATACATAGCGTGCAATTATTCTATATTTTCATATCTCAGACACTAATCTCTAAATGCATAGGAATTTGGTGGTATGTATGTAAATGTCTCATTTAATTAATCTCGATACCAAAAACAGAAGAATTTCGTGTTACCATGTAAAAAAAAAATAAAAATAACTAAGTAACTAAATGAATAAATAAGGGACGAAACACGAAAGTCTAACCGCTAAACCCGCACATGTGGATCGTCCCCTAACTCGTGTCGAAGGTCTGGATCGAGAGGGAGATCACATGGATGCTTTATAAAGGGAATATATTTACATACATTATCCCTTTACCACACGTCCCGATACAACGACTCTCACTCGCTGTGGGCTTCTGTGGCTCGTCATCGCCCCGAGAAGTTGTGCTCGGGGCGTCTCTTAGCTGCCGCTATCTGGTTCTTTCCGTCTGCAGCACACACGTCCCGATACAACGGCTCTCACTCGCTGCGGGCTTTTATGGCTCGTCATTTTCCTGAGAAGTCGTGCTCGGGGCGTCTCTTAGTTGCCGCTATCTGGTTCTTTCCGCCTGCAACACAACACATAGAGGGGCTTTCCTCCGCTCCTTGCTCGCTGTTTGGTTTCATAATTTGCTCTCTGCACCTCCATCTTTTGGGATGGCTTCGAAAAGATCGTATGCTGTTGCCCTTGAGGGTGCCCAAGCCTCAGGTACACCTAAATTGTGTTCTTTTCCTCCTTCGTTTGAGTGGGAGGAGGACATCAATAAACCTGGTAAGAAAAATGAGAAACCTCTCATCTTTTTTATAGAAGTTAAAGGTATTCAACTTGCTTCGTCCTGTCTTCTAAATTTGGTTATGAATTTTCTGTATGATCATCCCAAAATGAAGCTGATTCGTAAGGATTTTGAACTTATGCATCTTGTTGGGGAGTGAAAAATTAGACTTTTAGATGCAAGACACACTTTTATTTTGTTGAAGACACATTCTTATTCAAATTAGCTATGAAGAAGATTACATGCACTTATTTGCTAGAAAGATAATATGGATTGATAACAGAGCAATGAAAATTCTAAAATGGTCTGTGGATTTTGACCCATAGTCGGAACCACCAATCATTCCGATTTGGATTCATCTCCATGGTTTGAAATTTCATTATTTCACTTAGACAGTGTTGTGCTCTATTGCCTCAGCTTATGGTAAAATACATAAAACAGACATTTCTACTTTTAATCTTTTCCGCCCATCTGAAGTCAGAGTACTTGTTGAAAGAGACATCACTTTATCTGCTTCTGAGAAGATTTGGTTGGACACACAACACCATGAATATTGACAAAAAATAGTGATTGAGTCTTTTCCTTCTTATTGTTCGAACTGTCGTATGCTCGGCCACTCCAGTTATCAATGCACCCCCAGTTATCAATGCACCCATCTACACCCCCAACTCAGACCAAAAAAGCAAAGCACTCCGCCAGAGGCAGCGAATCTAACTCCTCCTGTTCAGCCTCAAGTTATTGACACTATTGATCATCAAAATGATACTCCTGAAGATATCACTATCATCGCAGACAATATGTCAATTATTCAGTCTTCACACAATGTCGTTGCTCCCCCGTCTTTGGAACCTCCTATCGTGGGGGCGAGGGAGATTCTTCAGACCCCACCTGCTCTTGAACCTATCACTGATATTACATGTGACAATACTTCTACTGCTTCACTACCGCATCATCAAGTTGAGCAAAATATTAATGTTACTCAGGCTCATGGGGATCATGATGTGCAACAACCTATACCTGCCCGACCACCTTTGAAACAATTCATTGATCATATAAGTCAATCATCAGATGAGGAATGACAGATCTACACATCCAGAAGGAAGAAGAAAAATGGAAAACTGCTTGAGCTTAGGAATCTGATGGACGATACTTTAGTTACTTCGGATAATTGTACGCACCTTACAAATCTGTTAGCCCCGATAACTAGAGGTAGAGGGAGGACTAAAGTGGGTCTTCCCTAGTACTTTTGCACCCGTTGGTGGCTTTTTGGTTTTTTATTCATTTGTATCTTTGCTTTATTTGGAGTTATGTGTGTTGTATTGTGTGAGTTGGACCTTCTTTTAGGCCCTCTTATTCAACCTATATGTATCTTTTCCTCTTTAATATATTAGCCCTTGGGCTTTTCCTAAACACTCTTTTCCTCTTTAATATATTAGTCCTTGGGCTTTTCCTAAACACACACACACACACTAAAGGGATAATGAGACAGTTACATACATTTTACATAGCTTTACATATCTCACACACTAATCTACTAAATGCAATGGAATTTGATGGTATGTATGTAAATGTCCAATTTAATTAATCTCGATACCAAATACAAAAGAATTTTGTGTTATCTTTGTAAAAAAAATAAAAAAAACAGTTAAGGGAAGAAGCACGAAGGTCTAACCGCTAAACCCACACACGTGGATCATCCCCTAGCTCGTGTCGAAGCTCTGAATTGCGAGGGAGATCATATGGAAGCTCTGTAAAGTGAAATTATTTACATACATTATACCTTTACTAATATTTAAGGTTTTAAAATGGACGGTGGATTTTGACCATCGTCCTGAACCTCCTACCATTTCTGTTTGATTGCGCTTTCCAGTTTTGAAGATCCACCTTTTTGATCAATAACTTCTCTTTGCGTTAGCGATGATGTACGATAAACCCCTCAAAACTGACACGCCTACCTGACACGCCTACAGTGAATCTATACGGTGAATCTAACTCGGCTTTCAAAAGCCAGAATTTTGATAGAAAGAGATATTACTTTACCTTTTCTGGGAGAAATATGAATTGACATACAACATCAGTGATTTTGGCAGCAAGCAGAACTTGAACATATACCACTTTATTGTACCTACTGCCGTATGTTTAGACATTCTCCTTCTCAATGTTATCAGTTGCATCTAAATTTAAAACTTTCAAGTAAAAATGCTTCTTTATCTGCCCCACCTCATACATGTCTCTCCTCCACTCCTGAGTGCATTCCACAGACTATTGAAACACCGGTTGACACGATGCCCCCTCCCCCTCCCACTACCGGAGACAATACTATCTCTATTCTTCCGACTGATATATTGACAGATTGTTTACTTGGTCCTGATAATCAGGATAGTATTGAAACTCCACATCCCCAGGATGCATCAGGTGTTGAAGAGACATGCTTACCATCTCTTCAGAATCAGAATGTTGTTACTGCTAGTCAGGAGCTGGGGGCTCATTCTCTCCTACATGCCCAACAATCTATTGACTACACCGATCAGATGAGCCAGTCCTCGGATGATGAATGACAGGTTTATACATCTAGAAAGAAAAAGAAGAATGAAGACACACTCCAACTTGAGAACTTAATGGATGATAGATACTCTAGTAACTTCAGGTAATGGAACGACATTCAGCAATTTGTTAGCTGTCTCCGCTCCTAGAACCAGAGGCAGAGGCATGACCAAGCTGGCTCGTGCCCAACAGCTTATTTCATGTAAGTTTTGTTTTTTTTTGTGTTTTATCTATGTTTCATCCTTTTACGATGCTAGTGTCTGATATATCATATGGGTAGGACACCTTTTTGGGTCCCCTCATACAACCTCTATGTATCTTTTTAATTTCAATAAAATTAGCCCTTGGGTGTTTATAAAAAAAAAAATCTATAGTGAAGGGATAACGAAGCATTTACATATATTTTACATAGCATGCAATGCCTCTGTATTTACTTCACTCACTAATCTGCTAAATGCATAGGAATTTAGTGGTATGTAAATGTCCAATTTAATTAATCTCGATGCCAAGTACAGGCGAATTTCGTGTTACTATCGTAAAATAATAATAATAATAATAATAATAAATAAATAAATAAATAAATAAGTAAGGGACGGTAATAATAATAATAAATAAATAAATAAATAAATAAGGGACGAAACACGAAGGTGTAACCGCTAACCCCGCACACGCGTGGATCGTCCCTTTGTTCGTGTCGAAGCTCTGGATCACGAGGGAGATCACGTGGAAACTTTGTATCGTGCTCTAGCTAAAATTGAAGTTTTGGATCGTCCCCTAGCTCGCGTTGAAGCTCTGTATCGTGCCCTTGCTCTAGTCTCCAGATTGCATTGAAGACTCCCTCGCTTCAATCAAGGCTACTCGATGACTCCTTTGTGTCGATTAGGGCTGCTCGACGACTCCCTTCTTTTGACCAATGATGCTAGATGATGGCTTCCTTGCTGCTTGCTTCGATATAGGTTATTGAGAATGATTGTGAGGCGATGGTAAGGCCTACAGATCAACACAACTTTTATTTTGTTTTGCCGCTTAGGATTCTGCTGTGATGCCGCTCAATTTTAAGTTCCCATGTCCGGTGTCAAGCTGTGTCCAACGGTGTTGAGAGGTGTCCGGGAAGTTTCAAATTAGTTGGACAGTTCCGATATGTTTAGTATAGTGTCAGACATGTATCGGCCTGTGTCGGAGCCATGTCCGTGTCCGACATGTGTCTGACACGGGCATGCTTTCTGTTTGGAGGTGTCAGTACTTCATAGTTTTTTAGCTATGCTTTTATTAGGGTTAATATAGCTAATACGATTGAGCAAGGCTCTAAAAGCTCAGATTGTTATGCTAGTTGATATATTTTGGTGCAAGGTGTGATGTTTGTTAACTAGTTCGTCATTAAGAACATATTGTATCCGATATTTCAAATTAATTTTTTCTTGCTGGTATAATTCATGTTCTGATTTTAGCTTATCTGTGTCAGGGAGATTGCAAGATTAATAAGGAAGCGCATGGAAGATGTGGGTGCTGAGGTGTATTATCATAAATTTCAATTTCATAATATCCAGTTCCATCCTCTTCGTTTCTTCTCTTCTACCCCTCAGACAGTGGCAGAGAAAAATAGCAGTGGATGTACTTTAAATGGTGTCAGTCCTGTGGGCATTATACGAGCTCCACGTGGTGATGGAAAGGAATCAATTGTATTAGTAACTCCTTATAATTCAGAAAATGTTAAATTGAATGAAGCCTTATCACTAGCCCTTGCTTATTCAGTCTTCTCTCTTCTTAGCCGAGTTGTATGGCTGGCAAAAGATATTGTCTGGTTAGCTGCAGATTCAAGATATGGTGAGTATACATCAGTTGCTTCATGGCTTAAGGATTACTATAATCCTTTTTTTTCTAGCGATTCAGGGAAATTTGGTATTGACATGTGTTTTGAAAAAAAAGAAAATCATGGGGATGATAAAACATCATTTGATTGTTCAGCCTATGATGATTTTAGACGTGCTGGAACTATGGCTGCTGCTCTTGTACTTAAGGTCATGGATCAGGAGAGAAGTGAAAGGGACAGAATTGATATATATGCTGAGGCATCAAATGGACAGATGCCAAACCTTGACCTGATAAATATTGTCCATTACTTGGCTGTTCATAGACAGGGTTTGCATGTTAAGGTTGGGACTTTTGGGTTTTTACTTAATTCTGCCTTGCTCAAGCATCTTGGTGAAACATTACAACGCCTGTCCAGGCTGGTCCAAAGCTTAAATCCTGGATGGAAACTGGGTGTTAAGTCCGCGGATTTTATTGAAGGCACAGCTACTCTCGCAAGTTCAATGTATTACCAGGTAAATTTAATTTTAGTTTCCTTCTTTTACTAGCTCTGTTTACATCAAAATGTTCATCGATTTACTTTTTACTATTTTAGGCACTTGGGGTGCCCACTGGGCCTCATGGTGCTTTTCGAGATTTTCAAATTGATGCAATTACTATGGAGCTCTCACCAAGGACTTCTCTAACTAATGAAAATGGGGTGTCTTCCTTTCTTTTGAGAAGTGGCAGGTTGGTATGAAAGAATCTATTAATCTTTTCTTGATTTGCAAAGGATACTTGTTATATTTGTGATGATTCTTTGTATACATCGTGGGATTTAAAAAAAACTGGTTAGATTGCCATAGAGAGTGATTATCGGCTAGCTTGTTCTATAACCTAGGGGAATCAATGGAAGGGCAGGCAGATCGGCATAAATAAAATATATTTTAAAATTGATCATTGAAGTCAATCAAGATTTATTTCAACTTTATGGGTTGAGGTTTCCCATAGAATTACCCTTATAGTTAATTATATTTTTGTTGGCTTGAGAACGCTGTCGACATAGGACTGTCTTTGACACTCTGGGAAAAGATAAAAAAGATAGATGATTGAGAAAACTAAAATTTTGGATTAATAATGGATGATCAGAGCAAAGATAGAGCCACCAAAAGAAGGATTAATTAGAGATCATTCATAATGTAATTTGGAAGCCAAATATTCACGAGGGAAACTAGGATTTAAGCTAAATATTTGAGGTTTTATTTTATAACAGCAAGATATAAATGCCCGCACTTGACTCATGGAACTCTTGTTGGTATCTACATTGAAAGAGATTAGGTTCCAAACTAAGTTATTGGGGTCTTATAAATCTACAATCTCTAGTATCATTGAGAGTAGCTACCTTGGGACAAAAATGGGACTCGCAACATATTGCTTTAAATGTTTGAGTCATAACCTAGCCATATAATGCACATCACAACTTGTCCTTTTTAGTGAGATGCAAGTTTAAGAAACTCTAGTCTACTTAGACTTATGCTTTTAGATGGTTTGAATATTTGTTTTACAATTTCATAAAGAAAGTGACGCGTGCACTTAGGAACAACAACCTGAGCGAGGCGCTTCGAAATTGCGGGGCCGAAGCTCTGTGAAATGACACGAAGAGGAGGGCACCACGACAGTCACGAGAGTCCGCGACCACTTGAGAAGGATCGCGAACCTTGATCCCGCGGTACTTTGCTAGAGGCCGCAATCACCTGAGAAGAGGAGATGGCCGTGAGCCTTCATGTGCCGATACTTGGGCTATGTCGATATTCTTCCGCACTATCTTCTTCTAACCTACCTTATGTGTAGAAGTAGGAGGCTATAAATAGATGTCCTTTGTGTGTGGGGGAGGCAATTCTACTAGAGTGTCTTCTGATCTCTCGTGTGGAGTCTTTTCCCTCTTGGTAGGGTTGTATCCGAAGACAGGTGATGCTTCGGCTGAATCTTGCTCCGAGGTGGTGTTCCAAACTTCCAATTTCCATTGCTTCTTCTCACCAATCCCGCTTCCTATCTCTCCCCTAACTACCTACCACCCCCATTCACCATCGCTTTACCTCCACTCATACTACTCCTACAACCTTGCCGTCCTACCTACCTACACACAACAAACCAAACACCATCACCACTACTCAAACAACCCCCGACATCTCCCATTTTTCCCTACCATCCCGCCGATGCCACCACCGCCTTCGGACATCTCCCTACATCCCTAACCGGAATGGATTTGTCTATTATTGTATTTCCTTTCAATTGAGTCGTATTGTAATCCTATTTCTACATTAATAAAAGTTTGTTTGTGTTCCACTTTTCTTCCTACTAGTTCTAGTATCAGAAAGTTGCCTATTCTAGTAGGTTTTACAATCTTATTCGATGGGCAAGATTGGCCAAATGCTAGCATAAAAGGTTTATATGTAATAATAATTTTTTTAAATTATCTAGGTTACTACATGCTGACACAGGCTATGTTATGTTGTGAATTCACCCAATTTTGCCAATTAAGATCGCATATAGTCTAAAGGCACATAGCCTACATGAGTGGACTGGATCCAACAATCGGCTTTTGACATATTTATCTATCTTTTTAGGAGACAAATAAGCAAGTTAATTTAAAAGTTAGTAAAAAGCATGATATGTTGACACAAATTGGTTTGGAAATTAATATAATTTTGGTACAACAACAACAACAACAACAACAAGCCTTTATCCCACTAAGTGGGTCAGCTGCGTGAATTCTTTTTCTCCATTGCATCCTATTGAGTGTCATATTTTCATTTAATTTTTAATAGATTAAGATCATTTTTTATACAATATACCTAAATCTTTTTTTGGTCTACCTATCTTTCTTAACATAGGTCGAATCTAAAACATCTACTTTCCTAACCAAATTATCAGATGATAGAGGTTTGATGTGACTAAATCATCTAAGATGACACTCTAAACTTGTCCGCCACTGTAGCTACACCAAACCTATCACAGATATATTTATTTCACATTTTGTCTCTAAGTGTCAAGCCACTCATCCACCTAAGCATTCTCATCTCAACAACACTTAACTTTGTTTTATGCTTTTCTTTTAAAGGCCAACATTTTGCACCATAGAGCATTACAGGTCTTACCAACATCTTATAAAATTTTTCTTTCAGTTTAAACAATACTTTTCTATCACACAATAGGCCCGAAACATTCCTACACTTCAACCAACCAACTTGAACTCTACTTTTAACATCCTCATCTATATCAACATCACTTGGAACGATAGACCCGAGATATTAAAATGTTCACACCTTTTAATGATTTGATCACTCAAAGTTACAATTCTGCCATTAAAGCTATTACTAAAATTACATTCAATGTCTTCTGTTTTAGTTATAGTCAAACAAAAACCTTTAGACTCCAATGTAGACCTCCATATTCAAGTTTTTCTTGAACTTTTTTTCTAGTCTTATCCACAAGAAGGATATCATTAGTGAAAAGCGTACACTAGGGTACATCCTCTTGTAAATGTCCATTAAGAGCATCCATAACTAAAGCAAAAATAGATGGGCTTAAAGTCAGTCCCTAATATAATCCAATTGAAATAAGAAAATACTTGGTCCTTTGTTCGAACACAAGTAACAACTATAGTATACATATCGTTAATGACTTAAATATAAGTCATATCAACACCTTTCTTCTCTAGAACTCTTCAAAGGACTTCTCTTGGAACTTCTCTTGGAACCTTATCATAAGCCATTTCTAAATCAATAAAAATCATATGTAGATCATCCTTATTCTCTCTGTACTTCTCCATCAAACCTCTCAATAAATGTATAGCTTCTATAGTAGACCTGCTCAACATAAATCTAAATTGAATATGAGAGATCTTTGTATCACTTCTTAACCTATTTTCAATTATCCTTTCCCATAGTAATAAATACGTCACATCAACTTAATTCCTCTACAATTTGCACATTCTTGTGCATTTTCTTTATTCTTAAAAATGAGGACCAAAATAGTCTTTCTCCACTCCTCAGACATCTTTTAGTTTTTAAAATAGTATTAAAGAATTTAGCAAGCGAAGAAAATCCAAATCTCCTAAATATTTTCACACTTCAATTAGGATATCATCATGTCCCATTGACTTTCCACCTTTGGTTTTCTTTAAAGCCTCATCAACTTCATTTTTATTAATGCGACAATAGAAATAAACTATTTTATTATAACTAACGATATTAAGATTACTAAGATCGATTGTATTTTTTGAAACTTCATTGAAAGATTTATCAAAATAGTTGACCCATTTATGTTGAATATCTTCTTTTAGGAAAATCATTTTTTGATTTTCATCTTTAATACACTTGAGTTAATTCTTTACTTTTCTTTTTTCTTTTTTGATTAGTTTATACATAAATTTTTTACTCTTTTTAGTATCAAATCTATTATAAAGATCGCTAAAAGCAAAATTTTTAACATCACAAATTGTTTTCTTAGACTCCTTACAGACCACCTTATTTTTTTTTTCAATTTTCTAAGCTTTTACATTTAAAATTATTTTTATAGCACAACTTCTTATATTTTATCTTTTCTTGCACATTATTATTTCACCATTAACTATTTATTTTTTTTAGAAAAAAAATCTTTTGATTGTCTAAATGCATCCTTTGCCATTTGTTTAATAGGGTGGAAAAAAAATCTTTTGATTGTCTAAATGCATCCTTTTCCACTTGTTTAATAGGGTGTGTTACTTTATCCCACATAGAATTTGCTTCTTCATGAGTATCCTAAATTTTAAAATTTTGAAGTTTACTCATAAAAATAACCCCCATCTAATTCTATGATAATTTTTCTTAGTATTATTTATCTTATAGCTCTTCATCTTAAAATCCAGAATTAATAGTCAATGTTAAGTATTTAAATTTTTACTTAGAATGATCTTATAATCTTTATATTCTTGATGATATCTTTTTCTTATAAGAAAATGATCAATTTTTGTTTTATTTGATCCATTCTTATAAGTAATAATATGCTCATTTTTTTCTTAAATAAAATATTAGCAATAAAAAATTCACACACTAAAGTAAAATCTAATATGATTTAACATTCTTTTTTAATCACTCAAAAACTGTGGCTACTATGAATATTTTTAAAATCTTCTACCACTTTACCAACATATCCATTTAAATCTCCAATAAAAATTCTTTTTTCAAGAGATATCATTTGTATTAATTCTTTTAGGTCATTCCAAAATTTTTCTTTAGAACCTATATCTAAACCTACTTGAGGAATATAAACACTTATAACATTAAAAATCATATCAACAACAATCTTATGAGCCATAATTTTATTTCTAATTCTATTAATTTTTAAAACATTATCTTTCAAACTCTTATCTATAATTACACCTACACCATTTCAAGTGAGACTCCTACCTGATTGCTAAAGTTTAAGACCTAATCTTTCGATCTTCTTAGCCTTTTCTCCAATCCATTTAGTTTCTTGAATACATAAGATATTTATCTTTCTATGAACCATAACATCAACTAATTCCATTAATTTACCGTGAGAGCACTTATATTCTAAGATCTTATTCTAATATTAATTTCATGGATTAACTTTTTTACTCGCATGCGTCTGTAATGCGGGAACTTTTGCTTATTTGACACTACACCCGAATGCTGGTATAATAGGTCTTGCACAATTTTCACTATATTCTGGTAATACAATGCGTC